CCGCTGCATTCTGAATCATTTGTAGAGGTTTGATTGTGCTTGATGGAAGTCCAGCCAGAAGAGCATTGCAGTAGTCCGGCCTAGAGATGACAAGAGCCTGGACAAGAAGTTGTGCAGCATGCTCCGTTAGAAAGGGCCTGATCGTTCTGATGTTGTGCAATGCAAACCTGCAAATTCGGGCAGTCTTTGCCATGTGGTTTTTGAAAGTCAGCTGGTCATCGAAGAGTACACCAAGATTTCTGACCGAAGTCGATGGGGTAATTGTAGAAGAACCTAGCTGAATGGTGAAATCATGTTGTAGAGTTGGAGTTGCAGGGAAGACAAGAAGCTCAGTCTTTGCCAGGTTGAGCTGTAGGTGATGTTCTTTCATCCATGCCGAGATGTCCGCCAGGCAGCCTGAGATCTGTGCAGCTACCGTTGGATCATCAGTGAGATAGGATTGTTAATTATCTGTTTGTTTCTTCTTTTTTTATAGAAAAAACATGCATTCCCTTAGCATTTTCATTACATATAACTGCCCCATGGGCATTTCATCACATGAAAGCTGAACAGTAAAACAAGCTTTCCTTACTAGCCTTTCTGATGAATGACACTCATTGATAATTTTTACTGTCCTCCAGGGGCATCAGAGAGTGATTATGGAGGAAATTGCCTTTTACAGAAAAGGATAAGCTTTACTGGACCAGAGTACTGTAAGATTATTGATGCCATTTGGCTGGATCAGAAGAAAGTCACGGTCTGAAAAAACAAGGAACTCTCACGAGAATCAACACCTGAAATCTGTCTAAAGCTGTCTAAAGCCTAAAGCAATACACCCAACTGAGAGAAACAAAAGCTCCACACCTCCACTCTTCCCCTCTCTCCCCTCATTTCCACCTGAACACAGGACACTGCAGAGATCACCAAAACCACCTTTCTTAATCAGAGTTTATTACAATGCAACAATTCATGTTTGAAGTCGTTTAAAAGGTCTCTGTGTGTCTGGTAAAAGGGTCTCACTCTCTTAACAATAGAACAGGTAGCCGTAAATATTGAAAACAGACTACTCCCAGGTTTTTCACACAAATTACCTTCTGTATGTAAATGAAGTACAGCCTCCCACAGAAATCAAGATAATTCACTTGAAACCCCCTAAAGAGATATGCTAAAACTCTGCAATAAACAGACAATACCATTTGGTTTCTATGGGGTTCTTCTGGATATTTAAG